GTAAATCTGTCATTAGACAGGGATCTAGAGCAAAACTGACTTAGTTTTTAAGGTGAAAATATGTTTCGATATATCGGGAGAACTGCTTCAAAACTATTATTTATATATCTAGTTTCTCCCCACTGGGAACTCCTAAGTGGCTTACAACGTTACTTTCCCATTCTCCATTTTATCCTCACAACAGTCTTGTGAGGTGGGCTGGGTTTAGAGAGAGTGACTGGCTCAAGATTATCCAGGGAGCTCCCATGGCTAAGTGGGTATCTCCTTGAACCCGGGTCTCCTAAACGCTAGTGAAACTCTAGCCACTAGACCATGCTGGATGATGGGGGAGTCACTGATCTAATTAGTACAGCCTAGTGTGCCAGCTGCTCTGAATACAAACGACACCCTCCCACTGCTAACATTCAACAGGTCCGGCCCTCTTAAGTGGCCTAGATGCAAGATGGCGCCAAAGATGCAGCCAGTTCATGCTTTTCTTTTTCTCATGTTCCTTACCTGCGATGCTCAGAATTTCAATCACAAAGGCCCGTGTCCTCCCCCTTACCCTGTCCTGCTCCATGCCCCGGGATTAATTAATCCTACATTAGTCATATGGTAATTCGTCAGCGCAAATGAGAATGTGATGAAATGTAATTACGGGTCTGTGCGTTTGGCAGAAGCAGTGTGTTTATTGAATGCATCCATCTCAGCTGCAAGGGCCGAAGGAGCGAAGCAGCCCTACGGAGGCCAGTGAGACTTTTTCTTCCACCTGTCCCGGTCTTCAGGGAGGGCCAGGTAGCAAGTGAGAGGGTAAAACTCTTTACTGGTGCAAAGTGGGAAGACCTTGTTTCGAGTCTCATCTCATCTGGTGACCACAGCGTATGCCTGTTCTCTTAACCCTCCAAACACCACCAAGAGATAATCACACTGATCTACCTGACAAGTCTGTCCTAAGAATTCCTGAAGTGATATATATGAATAGGGTTGCCAACTCTGGATTGGGAAATACCTGGAGATTTTGTGGGTGGAGCCTGGCAAGGGTGGGGTTTGGGGCATAATGCCATAGAGTCCAACTTCCAAAGTGGTCATTTTCTCCAGGTGAACTGATATCTGTTGCCTGGACATCAGTTGTAATAGCAGGAGATCCCCAGCTACTACCTGGAGGTTGGCAACCCTACATATGAATGGTTCAGTCAGCTCAAGGCACTGCCAAGGGCCTGTAAAGCCCTCAACAACCTAGGCCCAACAAGCCTAAGGCTGCGATCACACGCACAATTAGACCCGACATAGGTGCGAATGCCGGGCAGATTTAAAGGGCGTGATCGGACAACAACATCTGGGAAGCGGCCCGCAGCCGTCGCCAACCCGTTCTGCTCCACCGCAGAAGCGGAGTTAAAAGACACCGGAGAAAACCTGGCAGTGAACAGGTTGCGACGGGCCACGGACGGACTTTCCCATGTCCGATCGCTCCAGTGCGCTTTCATGCTGTTGGGATGGTCTGCTCAGGCCATCCTGACTCTGTGCCTCCCCTCCCAGTATGCGCATCTTCGCAAACTCCATAGGGAGCCCTCGGTGCAGAGGTGCGATTCATCGATCCCCCGTTTAAGCGCATGGGGATAAAAGGCACAAAAAAAACCCAACTCACCCGCAGTTGCGGCGTCTGATCACACACTGATGGTCTGCGCCCGCAGCTTTAAAGGGAGGTGTGATCGTTCAACTGCAGGTCAGATTCCTCTGGAGCAGGGGTCATTTTGTAGAAAAAGAGGTGCAGGAGCGCATTAGCGTAACTTATTTGCATATGCCACACCCCCTGACACCACCGGAAGTGGGTCAGAAGGCAACACCCACCGCTCAGGCTCCACTGGACTGCTTTGGATGGCTAGCTATTGGGGGTGGGGGGAACGTGCAGATCTGTCCTTGCAGAGGAGGGAGAGCTTGTACCTGAATAGAACTTGGTCTTAAAGGTGCCACTGGACTGTTTTGGAACAGGGTGGGAGGGTCTGCAACTTACCTGGCTGCTTCTTGCTCTGACTGAGGGCTGTTGGGAGCAGGGGGTGGGGCTTGTTGCATGTGCCCGCCCCCTGGGCTCTTTACTGCCGGAGCTCCGCTCCTGTGCACTCCTGCAGGAAATGACCCCTGCTCTGGAGGAAATAGCCTCACTCCCCCCCGTTTTTTCTAGCATGTGTGACTGCAACCTGACAGAAACTGCTATACCCCCCCCCATTCCGCCTTGACCCTGAAGACATACCAGGTGTACCTCCAAATCATTGTTACAAAGGTTGTATGGAAAGGCATTCTCCGAGGCTGCCCTTAGCTCCAGAACCATTTCTGGAGGTTCACCAAAGCTTGAACATGTGTGTCTTCCGGAACCAGCACAAGACATTTATATAAAAACTAGGTTCTGGGAACACAGGATAGAGTTCAATACTTAACGTTCATTTTCCTCATCTGATCCCTTGGAGTTGTGGGGTTAGGGGGAGAAGGGGTAAATAAGCAACACATAATAAATCTTGGGGCCTGGAAGAGCTGGCTTATGTATTGTCTCTGCTGGATCTTATCATTTTAAGATACGATCTCTCTTACAATGCCTGACTTTTGTTTATCTCTTGTTGTCTGAAGACTTTCCCAGATAAAGTTGAGCAAAGATTTTAATTGACTTTTTATCAGTATATTATCCTCTGATCACTGTCCCTTTTACTGAATCTGGTTTCACCCAAGCTGCCTAGAGACCTAATTCTGGTTGAGAATTGCAGAACGTCAAAATAAAGAAGCAAACAGATAAATGAATGACTAAATAGGAGCTTCAGACCCTGGAAATATGCTAACTTAAGGCTGCTGCTAATAATAATATCACATTATAATCCCGCCCTTCCACCAAAAGGTGACTTTCAAGGTAGGGTCTGTTTACACTGGGAAGAGCCCTTTGCCCATGTTGCCAACCCAGTGTTCATACCCACCACCGCTCAGTGCAAAATGACCCCTCTGTTACTTGGCCAGGGATGTCCACAATGTCTCAGTTAAACAAGTATAAAGCCAGCAGTCGTGATAGTCTGACCCACAATCAAACAGTCATAAGACTTATAAAGAATGCTGTTTATGTATTGCAGTCTAAAGCACTACAACATAATACACAACTTAAAAGAAAATCCTTGAACCAAGGTACATAATCACATAATCAACGTCGTCTCCGGATTACATAACAACGTTTCAAAAAAAATGGATCTTCTTCAGGAGATATTATAGTGGTGCCAAAGCTATCAGTTTCACGGTCGCCTGGGATCCAGTAGAAACATAGCAGCATATTTTGAGCTTGAATGTTAATTGAGATCTGAATTTAATATTCTTAAGACTTGTTGTCTAACATTTATGAAACTGAGAGCTTTGGCACCACTATAATATCTCCTGAAGAAGATCCATTTTTTTTGAAACGTTATGTAATCCGGAGACGATGTTGATTATGTGATTATGTACTTTGGTTCAAGGATTTTGAGTTGTGTATCATGTTGTAGTGCTTTAGATTGCAATACATAAACAGCATTCTTTATAAGTCTTATGACTGATTGTGGGTCAGACTATCACGACTGTTGGCTTTATACTTGTTTAACTGATTGGGTCGTGTGTGTCCACAATGTCTCAGTGGCAGCACATGTTAATTGCCTTACTTGGAAATACCTGCCCAAGGTGGCCTACGAAACAACACACAAACTATATCATGCATGAGTTGGAGACAAAAGTGTTTCATTCTAAGGCAGCTAGCATCCTGCCCCCATTTGTGTTCTATTCAGCAGTTCAGGGCAAAGACCCTGATCACTCTGGGGAGGAGCAGGTTAAAGCACCCTTTGCCTGGGTCTCTGGAGTAAATAAAGGGCATGAAAAGGAGAAGGCTCTGCCTGGAAAGCTGCTGCCAGTCTGAGGCCAATGGTTTGATTCAGTATAGGGCAGCTTCACGTGTGACCCTGCTGATACGGTGCCTATACCTGCACAATTGGCATGGCCGTCATGCCATACTCCTCTTCCTTCCCCTCATTGTCTCTCTCTCTCTCTCATGTCCAATTTTAGATTGTAGACTCCTCGGGGCAGGGACTTTTTTCGCTAAACGTACCAGCAGCAGCATGACACAGGGCTGTGTCTTCAGTCCTGTTTTAAAGCCCTCGAAACAGTGAATTCTAGTTGCAGCAGCCTACCCTAATGGCTTCAAAGTTGGGGGGGGGGAAGAAGAACAGGACTGCAGCTTCTTACAAGCGGATGCTAGCAGGTACCTCTTGGTAAAGCCACCAAGGGGTAAAGAGAAAAAGAAATCAGCCAGCCCAGAATGTGGAGAGAAGCTTGTGAATTTGTCTTGGTGCCAAGCCAGGAAATGAGGATAGCTTAGGGCAACTTTCTCTGTTGGGGGGGGGGGGGGGGCCGCCTTAAGAACCCACAGAGGGTGGGGAATACAAGCGAGCCCACCCTCTCGGCAAGCAGTGTTTGGGCACATTCTGCGGGCTGCCAAACCCACTCCCCCTCCTCTCCTCCTCTTCCTCCCCCCTCTCCTCCTCCACTACCACCCAGCAGATCTCCCCCCACCCCCTTTCCCCCCCCAATGTTTTCTTTTCCAAAGCCTCCCTCTCCTGTTTCCCCTCCTCCCCTTCCCCCAGTCTCTCCTGCGAATTCTGTATCTGCCCATTTTGCAAACTGCTCCCAGTTTCTCTTGCAAGAAGTGAATCTTTAAAAAAAAAAAAAATTAGACCAGGAAGGAAGATTGTTCAGAAATCTCCCCATATAAGATTTTTTTCTTTAAAAAAAAACGCGGGGGGGGGGGGGGGGGAGGGGGGGAGAGAGAGAAGGGAGGGATCAATTGCCAAGAAGGAGTATTTTTCTTGTTCTTTGGATCTCATGGAAACCAACCCTTTCGCTGGCTTTGGTGCGTGCAGAAACCAGAAGTGAACTGCAGAGCGACCCGGAAGGTTTGAACTAAAGCCTTATAACCACCCAACGGGGGAGGGGGGGAGGGGGGAAAAAAGGAAAGAAAAGAGAAAAAAAAATCCAAGCTAGACAGACGGACCATCCCAAGATCGGCGCGGGGGGGACGGATTTTTTTTTTTCCCCCAGCTGTAAACTTGGGTGGCTTTCTTTTTTGTTTTTGTTTTCAAAAAAATTCTTTTCCTTCCCATGTCTGTTTGCAAAACCCCAAGCCCTTTTGCCAAACTCTCTGCAATTCAAGGTGTGTATTATTTCTACCTTACAAAAAAAGAAAGAAAGAAAAAGCCTGAACTCTCAAGGCTAAGATTGCGGGGAGGGGACGGGAGAAATACGGGAGGGCGAAGGGGGTTTAAATGGATCCCTAGTCGCGGAAAGTTGCATGCACTTCTCGCCTCGCCTGCCTTGTTCTCTTTCGCAAAATGCATGTCAGTTTCCAGTTCAGCTAAGCTCGGGCCGCCGGGGAAAGCGTTGCAAAAGAAAGAAAAAAAACCCTTCGCCTGGGTTGGTTTAGGGCTCCCCCCCCCCCTTCCGCTGTGTGCAAATGTGAGTGCATGCATTTGCACCCGATCAGTGTCCAGATTGGGGGGGGGGACTATCTTCCCGGTGCCCCCTCCTCCTCCTTTCCCGACGTTGTGAAGCTTGGGCGGTGGAGAAGGAGGGGGGGGGGAAAGGAAGCTAAAGGGGGGAGCCCATTTTCTTCCTTGCAGACGGATCGCTGGCTGGGTTGCAATTTGAAAGTGGAGCATGTGTATTGGTATAGGAAGTGTCTTTTTTTTTTTAAATAAATAAAAGCCGGGCTATTCAAAAATAAAATAAAATACCCCTTTGGTGCAGTTCTCCGGCCACTAATGATTTAAGGCAACTAAAAGCGATGGCAAAGGGAGAGGCTTTTTTCCACCCCCTTTTTTCTTTTTTCCCCCTCCGACTTTATACTTTTGTAGCTGCCTGGATTTTTTTTTTTTCCCCTTCCTCTCTCCTCTCCCCTCTCGGCGTAGGCAAGCTTCAGATTTCTCCGGTTTTTTGCAGATCTGCAGAATATGGCGTCCCTGTTCTGTTTTAAAAATAAGCGAGGCTGCCATTTTTGTTTTCCTTTTGTCTGCAAATTTTAATAAAACTGTCTGAGAATGTGGGAGAGGCGGCGGAGAGGGGGGGGAAGGGGGCACCGAAAGGGGTGTTTTGTTTTGTTTTGCTTTTTTTTAAAAAAATAATCTTACTTGCTTGGCGTTTGCGGTTGTGTGGGGGATGTTGCGCTGTCTGGTGGGGTGTCTTATTTTTTCTCCCTTCTTTCCCTTGCGCCGAGAATTGTGTGTGAATTGCACTTTTTTAAAAAAAAGATTAAATAGGAAAGGACTGTTTTAATATCTGCACTCGTGCAGAACTTGCCTATGGAAATGTGTGTCAAGGGAAACCCCCCAACCCCCAGTTAACATGCTTATATATCTTTCCTTCCTTTCCGTTTGGCTTATTAAATGGAAAAAGTTCATTTGAATCTGATTATACTTCCTTTTTATTTTAAATGATGTGGCTTTGGGTTGGATTGTTTTTAACGGTGGACGATTTCTGTGCTTTTTCTTTCTTTCGGGGGAAAAAGGGTCTTTTTGGAAATGGCAGGTTTGCTGAGGAATACTTTGAAAATTTGCAATATGGGAGTGGAATGTGCTATTTTCATACTGTGGAATCCGCAGCTATAAAGAATGGTGAGATTCCCCCCCCTCCTTGCAGTTCTAGAGAGAGAGAGGGGTCTCTGTGTTAGAGGAACATGGATTTCATGTGTGTGTCTATATGTGTCTTTCCATACATGTGATGTCAATATATATACATAATTTTAAAGATGTTTGGAGCCCTGTATACTAGGTAGTTGCTGTAGAACAATGTTACATCATTGCACTAAAAGAGGCAGTGTGTCTTAGGACAAGTATGAATTTATTTTGGGAGGAGGGTGGGGGTAGGAAATGTGCCTTTTTACTGGACCTACGTTTGGCGGTGCATTAATCTGCAGTGCCTACATGTACTTCCTTTTGTTCGATTTATATGTGCTGGCTAACTCTGGAAGGGCTTGAGGTCTGAATTTGCCATCCTTTTCTTCCAACTGCCAGTTTGATTTAAGTTTGATTTGTTGCCTAGGCCGACTGGGAGGCCTTTGGAAGGTGGAGGCGTGTGTTGAGTTTTGGCCATCCCGGGGCAGGTCTGGAAACTTGGGGTTAAGATGATCCTTGTGTTTGGGGTTATTGTTTTTGGCACAGAAGACATTGTTTGCTCTGTTGATTATAGAGAATAAGACAGGGAAGCCTTATATAAAGAGAATTAATTTTTGGAAAAAAGAAAACTAGGCTACCTTTGGTTGGTATACGAAGTATGCAAGCTTCTGTATCACACAGAGCTCTTCTTTGATGGCAAGTGCCCTGTATCAAAGAGAAACAGGTCTGCTTGATTGATTTTGCTTTACTGTTCTGAATTCACTTGGGCCATCAGTCATGTTAACTGTAGGCATTCTCTATGAGGAGTGAATGGTTCCACCTTCATGTGGATGGGTTCTGGATTCAAGATCACAGCTTCCTCTGGGTAGAGAAAATACAGGGCCAGAAGTGAGCCAGTTCTTAAGTTATGGGAAGGGCTGTGATCCATACATGTTATTGTATTGAAAATGCCACCTGCAAAGAACCACTCCAGCACTGGGGGCTGAATTGGGATCGGTATAAGTGGTGAATTTTCCGTGTGATTTCTACATTTCCATGCTACCGTAGCATCCTGTGAATGGATTTACAGAGGATGCAGGTCCAATGAAATGGTAATGTCCAAACTGTATTCTGTGAGAGAATCCCTAATGTGCTGCTAGCAGTCAATTTAATTTTTTTTAAATTGAGGCTTCTGGGAGCCCAATGTTTCCATCCGTGGAGGGGTCTGTCTGTAATATTTCTGCATAATTCATTTCTCTGCTTCCTATCAGCCTCTGATCAGGATGAGTAATTTCACTCCACCCCTTCATCAAGAGATCTTTCCCAGTGCTGGAAAAACACAGGATTTGCAGAGAAGGCTACCCATTGCATCTCTGTATGAGTCCCTGATCTAGGCTTGTCTGCCTTGAAGTCTCAGTGAGAAAGATGGGCTTTAAGTGAGGCAAGTAAAGTAAAATAAAATAGTCTCCTTCTAGTAAATAAGCATGTGCGCAACACAGATTTATACAGAAAGATGAGGCAAGCCCCTCATTATTTCTTTTGCGCAGTCTAAAAAGTAAACCTGTTGGGTATGAATCTTCTGTTTCAGTGCAGAAAACAGTGCGCCTCTACTATCAAGGTTTAGGAAACGAACTTTGCATGAATGCAAAAGTGGGCCACCAACTACTCATATATGTATTTCTAAAAGATTAAAACGGAGATGAGCACCGCAACCCTAGAGTCGGACTCGACTGGCTTTCGAGCAAGGGAACCTTTACCTTTACCCTTACTGCTTTACACATGGGACTAAGATTTTTATTATTATTTTACTTAATTTATTATATTTTTAACCCTGCTCTTTAGCCAGAGTTGGCTCCCAGTGGAGCTCTCAGGAGTCAAACTACAAAGGGATCCTCCTGGCTGTTTCCTGTCTTCCCTTTGATGGCCTCCTTGATGACAGCTGGAAACGAGAGGGGTGCAGAAACAGTAGTGGGTTTATAACACTGTTCTTTATTATAGATATTAGGTCAGGAGACTATCCCTTATGGGGATTGTAGTCATTTCTCTTTTTCCCATGGCATAGGGAAGCAACTGGTGCCCCAGGGCTTCCTATCCTACCTCTAGCCTAGTCCCTTGTTTCTACATTTCAGTTGTTTTCTGCCTCAGGTGGGACGCAAACAAAGGCCTCTCTAAAACCCTTCTTGCCTGTGTGACTTGCAGAAGAAGCTTTGGCAGAGCCCCTCCCGTTTTGTGTTGTTCACTCCAAAAGCCAGGCAAAGGGCTCCTTAGCTCCCTGCTCTTCAGAATAAATAGCAATAGAGGCTTTGGGAAAGTGTGTCCTTTGTACCTTCTCAGCTGTTTAGTCCTATATGTTGGCAAATGCACATGGAGGTAAGCAACTTAGGGGGCATAAAGGCAGGAACTGGGTGCTTACTTGGGCAGGTAGCGGAGACCTTTGCATGTGTCTTGATCACATGGGAGTTAAGCTAGTGGACAGAGTCATCTCTCCTATATTCTAAGGGTCATTCTAAGGTGAGCAAAGTGTGGCACCATCATTCACCCTTCCAGGTTCCATGAGGCCTAGACTAATGTACTTGTGGACAACACCCATGGAATAATTGAAAATCACCTCTAGTTTTAACATAAGAGTGTCAAGATACTAACTCCTCTAGGATAAAACACGTTTGTCCCTAAGACATGCGTGGTACATGTGCCACAGATACGATGTGAACATCCCTGACAATATTTAACACAGGATGTTTTGAACTGTACAGTAATGGATATGACATGAGGTCTATCTACTGACATCCTCTGGCAAAAAGCTGAGATGTGGACAAAGGGCTCTTTGATGTGGACAAAGGGCTCCTTCCCACTTTAAACAGCAGAAGAGGCTTTGGCAGAGTTTTTCATAGCTGCTTACAGTTCTTTGAGTGTTGATTTCTGTGTAGGGGGAGAAGCTGTGGTGTGTCAAAAAGGTGTGAATGTTGCCAAAGCCTCTCTTCCTGTTCACAGCGGTGGAGATCAAAGATAACACTGGAAGTGATTCAGGATCCCTTTGTGTGTGTCCTAGCTTTGGCAGAGCTTGCCCTCTTGCGTCCTTCAGATAATGACTCCCAAGCATGAGCCAACCTGTCAGCAATGAAAGTGAGCCACTGAAGGACTGAAGGCGAGAAGCAATCCATTCTGTAGGGGGGGGGAGTTGAAGAGCCCTTTACATGCCTTTTGGCTGACAGAAGTGAGTCACTGAATGGAACCAAGGTCACTCATCCTCTTGCCCTTTTTCCATCCAACATATGTGCTCTGTGAACAAGTAATTGCTCACCAGGGCTTCTTTGGGAACCCCAAAAAAGGAAGTTCTGATACTGGATTCCCTGCCAGTTTTATGGTCAGAAGGGATCTCCCCTTTTCTCCTTCCCTTATTCAAGTTGATGAGGAACTCTGAATCCTATTCAGTGTATAGCTTTGGTTCTCGTACCACTTTTTTGGGTAGGTGTATCCTTGAGAGGTTGGATGTACTAGATGGGTTCCCCTGACCTTATAGGATTAATGTGAGGGGTTGCCACTGATACTGTGTGTTTGAGAGTTC